CGTCCCCTCCACGGGATGCGCCGGATCCCGGCGCCGGGGCCGGGAATAACGACATCAGGTTTCCCAACGCCGGACGACGGATCTCCGGCGCCGGCGAAGTCCCGGACGACGAGATCCCGGCGCGGCGAACCCTGCGGATTGCCGTCGGGAAGGTGGGCCCCGGCGGTTTCCGCTGAGACGGGCACCACGAAGCGTGCAGATCGATCTGCAGGAAATGGGTATGCAGGGCTCTCATTTTCTTTTTATTTTTCGATTGTTTTGGGCTTACACACACCTTCGCTCGAGCTCCAAAACAGAAAAAACCACAGATATATAATACTGTGGATTTAAAGAGAGCTCAAGAAAGAAGGCAAGAATCGAATGAAAGGTTCCTTGGAATCTCCTTAGTTATGGCGACAGAGAGAGGGAGAGAGTGTATTGATGAACTGTGTCCACATGAAAAGTTGGTGGCTGTTTGAGGCCACACAAAATCTCTGGTTGCTTGCGTTAGTCACTGTGTTTTATTGTATGAATTTGATTATATAGGTGCTGCCAAAATAAATATCTTATGGCCTAAAATGTTTTCTTGTTTCTTAAGGGTTTCTTCATGCAAAAATTATTATACGAGGTAAGTCTAACTGTTAGGCGAGTCGAACCTGTCACACACACCATTCTTAACAAAATTGCATACTTATATCATTAAATGTCATATTTTGTCGTGTTTTTATTTATGAATATTTTTAATGTGCCATTTTCTAATGAAAAAAAGTATTTCGATCTAACACAAGATTTATTATCGTTATTTATGTGGTTTTGACTTGGACTACTCATCACATTTTTGTTTTGCTGAAACAACGACTATGTTTGGTAAACCTAACTAATAACTGATAAGATAACTTAAAGGTGATAAACTAGCTTATAATTTTTAATTGAATTTCGAGCTTAAAGTTGGTAGTTTATGACTTATGACTGAAAAATTAGTTTATATGATGAAAGTGATTAGTATAATTAGCTGATAAGGTAGATGAAATAAAAATTTCAATGGGCTTATTTGAAAAATTACCCAAGAAAACTTATGAGATAAACTCGAGCATTTTGAAAAAACTCATCCTACCAAACCAAGCTTATCTAAATACAGGAAACTTATAAGCTAATCAAATAAGCTATATAGCTAGGTTCTCATGCTTACCACACACAACCAACAATTTCTATCATTTTGGGGGGAGAAAGGAAAGAACTCTCCACTCACCAAAGGGGATAGATTTTACCATGTTCAAAGGGTACTAACATGAGGGATGGTAATTTAAGTACACAATACTCTTACAAACTTGCTCATTTTCTACACACTTTTACACAACTGACAATTAGTAGATGTACAACTGGGAGCTTTTGCTGTTGTAGTAAAGAGTAAATACCTTCATTGTACAATAAATGACCGTAAAACAATCTATATTCACCGTGAATTTCACCCTATACGCTTGGGGGGCCGACGGGGGGTTTTTAAGCCATCCAATCAACACACAACCGAACGGGTGCGTGTGAGTTTGTGTGATCTGACGGCTAGTTTGTTTTCTTACACACAGTGATGGGTTTTTATTTTAAACGTCCCATCCCATTAGCTTGCTTCTTACACGCTCTTTAATCTCTTCTCTTTTTGTCGAGTAATAATCCCATTCATCCAGCAAGATCCTGTACACTTCCCATTCCCGGTCTTCGATTTTGGTTCTGCCTATTTCGACCTGAAAAATGTTCATTAAAATTTGAAAGAGAGAATGCCTTAGTCGACTATACCGAATATCAAATGTAGATTTGTTATCATTCTTCCTGTTATAATAGTGTACTAGTACTAATACCCATGTACAATATGGGTGTTGAGTTTATGAATATATGTATTAAATTATTTATGTCTAATAATATAAATAATATATATGCATAGATTTCCGTCATGTCAGCATTCGAAGCGTAAGAATCTGCCTCTTAGGCTAAACACGTTTTGAATTAATATATAGGGAGGGATGTATTTATCTCAACAATATTAATGTTTCCTTGAAATAATATCCATCATAATATATTGGTTCTTTTTGGGAAAACCATATTAATATTCATCAATGTTTTCTTAAAATAATATCCATCATATTAATATAAATTTATAAATGTTGTTTTTGGGAAAACCAGAGGGTTGGTTCTCAAAGATTATGGCTTTTTACCCATATATTTAGTTGGGATCAAAAGAAACTTTTTTTTTTTTTTTCTCAGAAACTGTTAATAAACAGATAACATTACTCATTCTTGCCTTTTATTATCTGATGCACATTTTATGTTCAGAAATCTTACCGAAAAGATGTTTATGCTGAGAATCTTGAGGGCGAGCGTGATATCGTAGAAAACGAGCGGCCGGCCACGGCCTGAAAGCTCGACTGGGTTAGCCACCAAAAGCTCGGAATCGGGACCTCTGCTCACAACATCCACTCTGAGAGGGTGGACAAGCTCGGTTTTCAGACGAGAGCAAAGTGCAGATTTCCTACAATCGTCAACTATCTTTTCCCCTTCGACTTCTGTTATGAATAAGTCCATCTCACAGTTCCCTTTTGCGTTCGCAAAGAAGCGGCCGTAAGAAATCTGGCGGGAAAAAAATTCATGCATATCATCCTAGTAAGTGACGTGCTAAGTAAAAACATGCCGATCTTTCGATATTTTGAGCTTGGGATTTTCGCACTTCGTATATTAGGAGATATATTTTTCAGGAAGTAAAATTTTAGATAATTGTGAACACTAAATACTGTAAGATATGAATGAACATTTGACATGTGTTCGCTCCGAGTCGACCATAATTTTTTCAAGGAAATTTACAACTACGTAATGCGAACAAAGTTTTATTGAGTAATAACTAATAACAGAAAAAACCCCGGGAAAAGACTCGAAATAATAAATTAACCCCTTTAAAGGTTTGAATCTGGCTTGCATAGCTTAATTTATATAGGAAGTAAAGGAATACATTTTTCTATAGTAAATTTGAAAATTTTTCAGTAGATTTGTTCGTAAATGATATGTACCTGTATATTATAATCTTTGAGGGTTCTCATGATATCGTAGATGAGACCCTTGTGATCTCGGCAGATAATTCGAACAAGTGTGTGAGATGGACTGAGTGAGTTATCGAACTCAACTGCTACTGAGTCAACTGGCACATGCAAAAAATTGTTTCCCACATCAGATGATGAAGAAAATGAGTGTAAAAAAGAAGCAACTTCATGAGAAGCCGGCTCGATTTCGCAGGTCATCATGGCATCTCCTAGCACGAATTTTAGTCGTCTCATTGTTTCATCTCGTCTACTGCTCGTCTGAAGAAGTTCTCTGCATAAGGGCACATGATTAAAGGGAGATGCATAATGTTTGATTGAATCCATATTTGTGTGAAGTTTGCAAGATGTGAATCCTTATTATACCAAATGCTCCATCTCATTACTTTCATTTTTTGCTTTTCTTATCGAAACTTCGAGGTAAAAAAGGATAACCAGAAAAGATAAATTTAATGAAGTAGAGAGCAAAACAATAGAGAAGATACTAAACACAAACCTTGTATCTGTAATAAAGAAGAGGTCCATTACTCTGCCATCGGGAGCTGTATAAACTTTCACTCTCTTAATTGTTAGTTCAAGCTCATAAAGAACCTCGGTTACATCTGCAAAGAAAATGAAAGAAAAAAGAATGATACATTAAGTGATTTTTCACCATATTATTTCCTCATGTCGACAAAATATAAGCCAGTGTGATTAATTAGTATATAATATTTTTTTCGAACTCAAAAAAACACGTACAATTTTCAAATTAAATTGCAGAAGTATATAGATAGGCCTTGTAACTATTTCAGAAAACACGAGGAAGAAAAAAAGGAAAGGAACTACAAACAAGAAATGAGTGTTTAAAAGTTCTTATATTATTATTTTCATCAAAAGGAAGCATACCATGTAACAGGCCTTTTCGGTCATAAGAGCACCAAAACTTGAGCAGGAAAATCTCGGGTGGCCTCGTCGGTTGAAACTCCGGAATAAAATAGAATATTCCGGAAGCCGAAGGAGTACATTTAGGGCAAACATCAAGAAGCCTCATTCTTAACAAACTCCATTTAGTTTGCAGCTTTCCAATCACCCAAAATACCAAGTAACACCATTTACCATCAGTTGAAAAATCTGTTACACTTAAACAGATGTTCAAAACCAATTCCTACAAGAACCTAGCAATCGTTCGCGTTTATTATTGACATATTTATTGAAAAGTAAAATACACAGCTAAAAAGGATACATGAACATGTAATACATTAACTGACATTAGATTCAACAAATTCCAAATTTTCCAACAGTCGGTGTAAATTAGCAACCCTGTAAAAATTCTCAATCTTGACTGATTTTATAATTATAATTTTATAGGATATTGCACTATCTGCAGCTCTATATTACCAAAAACTGAAGTAGGGTGATGTAATATCCTACATAAGTTTGGCAGCAAATATACACAAATTCAGCAAAAGGAAAAGCATAAACTCATAACTCCAAATTGAATTTAACAAATGAAAACTAAAACATAACCACAAGTATTAGAACCGGGGGAAGAGGGAGCAGTCCCACTAATATGAAACGCACCATAAGAGGGTGAGCCTAGACGCACCTTAGTGAGGTTCCATCCCAAACCAATTGGTGACGGGAGGAGTAGCCGCTTATATACTAGGTTCATTTTCTCTATAAAATCAACGTGGGACAACTCACAAGTGATATTTCAACAACAAGCCATTCAGAAAAGTCCTTAAAACAGAAAATTGGCACAAAAACTTGAAGCAAACACTGACAAATAGAGCTAATAACACAATAACCACGAGAAAGAGCAAAAGCTAACCAAGATTATACAAGATATACCTCCTCTGACAATGCTAAGTCCAAAGAGCAATATAACTCTGCACAAATCACATCCAAGCCCAGTTTTATCTGGACAATTCACAGTTATCACGGTGTGTTCACCTTCACTCACAGCTTCTTTAATCAAGACTGCGTCTTCGTAGATAATCCCCATCTCATCTCTCTTCCCTTATGTAATCCCAACAATACGATGTAAAAATGGAGTCTTTTTTAACTTATCTTCTAGTGGGCTGCTGTTTTTTCGTGTGGGTTTCTTGGATTTAAGGCAAAGATTCGAACTTTTTTTCTCCTTAAGAAATGGGGTGAAGCATAAAGATAGTTTGAGCGCACACACGCTGACACGCCAGTCTCAAAGAAGAAGATAAAAAAAAAAAAAAGAAGGGCAAAAAATGGCTTCTTTAATTTTTTTCTTGCTGATGTGTGAAAGCTCGAGTTCTTAACAAATCAATAATTAAATTCGAGCTTGAGTTTCACTCGTTTATCAATTTTAACAAGTCAGTTTCGAGCTTTAATGAGTTTAAATTATAAAGAATCATTTTGAACTCATTAATTAAACAAGGTTTAAACGAATTCGAAATCGACTTATTAATCAAAAACCAAATTCAAACTTGAACAAGTCAAACGCTTTGAGATTGTAATTTGGATAGAGAGAAAATATCTTAAACAAGAACTGTTGTGACGGCCACTTTTGATTGGTCTTTCTCTCTCTCTCTCTCTCTCTCTCTCTCTCTCTCTCTCTCTCTCTCTCTCTCTCAGACACACTTTGCTTAAAAAAGGATAAGATAACAGAAGAATAAACAATCATTGTTGTCTGAGTAGAAAGTAAAGTAATCCAACTGCAGCCTATGGAAAGCGTGTCTTTAATTATGCGCTTTTTATTTTAATTGGTTTAATATAATAAAAGCAGAAATGTATGATAGACTAGCTATTCTTGGAAAATGATGAATTTTATTTACAATTTGTGATTGGTCAACATCAAAATTTTACCCCGTAGTTGTATAAGTTTGGGATATTATTATAAAAAAAAAAAAAAAAGTTTGGGATATTATTATTATTTTAGTTTTAAGGACTTGGTAATTTATTTGTACATTATACAGAATCTAGAACTATAATTTGATGGCAGATGTGAATATTTTTTCATGTTGAATAATTTAAAGTATCCCCTACATGTCAATTTTCATGATAATAGTTTAACGTGGAGATTTAGAGCTGCAAACGAGTCGAGCGGCTCACGAGTCGCTCGCGAGCGCTCGAGTCAAAGCTCGACTCCAGCTCGAGAACGAACTCGAGCTTATATTATGTATTGTCGAGCGGATTGATATATATATTAAATTACTAAAATACTCCTTATATATTTACATAGTATAACACAAGTGTTTAATGATAATTTTCACTTAAAAATTTTCGAACCGAGCTCGAGTATTTGATTTCGAGTCGAGCTCGAAATATTGTGTTTTCTTATCGAGTCGAGCTCGAGCCTCATAAATCGAGCTGGAGCTCGAGCCGCTAAAAAAAAAAATCAATCATGCTCGATAAGGCAAATGCTCGACTCGCAGTCGTAGTGGGAATTGCCGAAAATAAACTTGACAAGATAAATTTAATATTGAAAAAAATTGGATTAGACTAATTTGTGTTGGCTGGGAGACAATTTTGTCGTCCAGTAGAACACTAAAACTGTGAGGAAAAAAATATGAAAAAGGTAGATGACTGCACTTGAGAATAAAAAAACAAACTAATTAAAAGTGATATAATATATAAACAAAAGAAATATTAGTTTATAAGATTAATTAGTTATAAATATGTGATTTAACAAATAGCATTTGTTATTTAAAAATGTATAATGTAAATTAATTTTTGATTTCTGTTAGTGTTGTTTTTAATAGAAAATCTATAATAATGATTATTTTTATTTTCTAATAAAGAAACGAAAGAAAAAAATAGTTATCTTTTGTGAAACTTTTTTGTTTCATTTTCAATATCAAAAGATAAATTTTGACTACCAAATAAATAAACTCTAAAACAAATTGCAATAAATTCATATAATGTCATCTCAAAACAGATTTTCAAAACCCAAGACCTCAAAGCAACCCAACCAAAAAAA